TTTTTTTTTACATTCGAGGGAGGTTGTTGCTGCATTTAGCGCAAATTGTGTTTTATGATTGTATTAATAGAAAGTAACGCGTACTTATTCGTGGGCGTCTATCTCAGCTGTCAATGCTTTTCCTCAAAATAAGGAAGGCTCTAAAACCTCAGTAAATGAGGTTTTGCCTATATCCCCTCATGTAGAAGCCGGAAAATATATATGAGTTTTAGTTTCTCTTTTGTGGGTCTTTGCTTTCCATGCTTATTCGAACTCTGGATCGGTAGAGGACTACTTATCGCCGCTAGCCCACCGCGCGGACAACTGTTCCATTTCCATGTCCCCTACAGAAAAAACACCGAGATATTTTAAATTGCGGATCTTAACAAGTCCTATTTTGGAACATCTCATTCTTATCATGCTCACTACTTTCAGTAACTACAACGTACAACCTTGAATACGATCATAGTCCGCCAGGGCGGAGCTACTGGCGGTAGATAGGGGAGGCGGTCGAGTGGCGCGATTTTTGCCGGCTGTCACTTTGTGTAGAAACTCAAAACACAATAAAAGGCTGCCATGAGTTTTTGAGCTTTTCAAGACAAAAAAAGGAGTTTTAACTATATATGCTGGATGATAGTGTATGGACAGCACAAGAACTCGATACTGGTTTTTGTCGGAGCTAGCGACAAGAGCTTCCCAGTCCCATTTTAAAAATTTTCCGACTCACCGCTCATATCCTTGGCCTGTTCTGCTTAGTGATTCTGCAACAGAATAGGCTGCTTGTACATTTTTTATTGAAAGGTAATACACTATTATAAAGTAAAACCTCCACGTAACATAAAGCCCAATGCAGATGTGCTCTTAGTGACAACCAAAATCGCGCCACTCGCCGGAACGACGTGCGGATGCACCCAACTCGCGCACGATTATTGGCATACTGTAATGCGGCATCAGTGGGCTCGCAGAAATTATTTAAATCTTTCGTGCTACTCGATATTATTGTTGTTTTCCTCCATATAGGGCATAGTGTTTTAGCTTATGAATTGGTTGTAGGATATGGCGGACTCCTCAAGCGACAGGGAAACAGACCATGAGGCCTTGAGAAGAAGTGTGCGGCCAAATTTTGCTGAAGATGGTGGGATAACATCTGAAATTTGTCAAATAACTGAGGATGCATAAGATTGGAATATCCTAAGGTTTCATCTTTTTTACCTTATTGATTGTGCATTTCAGTCTACGGTGAGAAGAAGGGCACACAAACGGAAGAGGTTGAGTATAGCGAATCTTCATTGGCTCAGAGGCGATCAGCTCTTCTGGTTAAGTTGAAACAACTTAAAGATTCACATGGAACTACCGCCACTGATACAAATATCAATCGTGCTGAAAGCGTCGACATGGTTTGTGATTTACTCTCATCTATCGTTTTGAGATCTTACATGTTTCCTTTTCTTATTTATCAACTCTCGAGTACTTAATCTCCTCAAGATGTCATTCATTGCCTATTGAAGTAAATAATTTTCGAATAAATACTAACTAAATATCATATCTTCCAGTCTAGAAATCTTCCTTGGAAACTGAAATAATGCTTAAAACCCAAATTTGTTATCATGTTTGATCCCGAATTTGGTACTCTCAAAAAAAATTTATTGATTCTTCCCTTTTTTTAAAATCATGGTGGGGTTTATAGAAATATAAAGTAAGTTGAAGTAATTTTCATTTACAATTATTAATTCAGAATGATTGTGACATTGAATTCGAGTATAATGACTGTGATACTCTCCCGCATGAGCTGGCTGAGCTCTACACTTATTCTGAGCTGGACGATTTTGCTAGTAACATTCATTGTTGGAAGGTGTATGCTGACAATAATGAGGTTCGTTTTAAAGAGTTGTCGTATCTGGACACCTTCGAATATCATTCTTTACATTTCTAAAACTTACTCATCATAGTTTTTCTAGCTACTGTACCGTATTTGGTGAATGAAAGAAGATTCATGATAAAATTGTTAAATCCGAATTTTTCCATTTAATTTCACACTTACCAATTTTTAATTAATTTTTCTTGATTCTTTGCTCAACATTTTACTACGTTTAAAAATCACTTCGTAAAAATAATGATTTATCACACGTTGTAGGAATAAGAGTTCAATGGCTAGTTGTTACAATAAACAGCATGCGTATCAATCTTTTACTTTTTAATACTTTAAAAATTAAATTTGTAACTTCTTTTACAGATCCCTCCACCTTTCCATTTCTCTTCTCTGCCACTATCTAAAAGA